AGAAAGAAAGGAAGAAAGAAAGAGAAAAAAGAAAGAAAGAGAAAAAGAAAGAAAGAAAGAAAGAAAGAAAGAAAGAAAGAAAGAAAGAAAGAAAGAAAGAAAGAAAGAGTGAGTCCTAAGAGTGTCATAGAAGCTGCATACTGTTAGTGGAGAGGCTAAGACTGACAACTTACAGATATTTTGGTGGCTTCACATAACATTTCCCTAAAACTTTGATTCAGAAAATACTCATCAAAGTTTGGATTTCTGTATTGGAGGACCTGGCAACAATGAGCCAACCACAGCCCACACTTCTCCCTGTCACCCACACCCATCAGTGTCACTGATTGACATCGACGGCCCTGTTGCTATTAGCATTGTAATGTGTGGCATAATTTCATAGGCATCACAGCTTGGAAATACCTAAAAGGAAGAGATTTGTTACAGAACAAGATTGTGAGATGCAGCCAGCCAGGTGTGGTGGCAGGCACACACCTTTAATCCCAGCACCAGAGAGGCAGAGGTAGGTGGATGGAAGATAGCCCAGTTTACATAGCAAATTCCAGGTCAGCCAGAGTTACACAGACTATGTTTGAAAAACTATATATTATATATAAATATATATTAGGAAATGGGAGGAAGATGGAAAGAAGGGACTTGATTCTAGACTTTGAAATTCTGTATAGGTTAGAGAAGTTGACATAGAGTCAGAACCATAAGTTCTCCCCCTGCCTTTAGCATAGCATTTCCAAGATTTTGGGTGCTTAGCACCAACATATGCAACTGTTTCCTATGCTGTGGCTTTCCAAAGCCCATGAGAATCATGACTGAAGAACACTCAGCATGGCTTAGGAAGGAGCGGCCCCTGGGCCAGTAGTACCTGAAACTCTCAGAGCCGCACTAACTTATTTTGATGGTTTTTTTTTTCTTTTTTTCCCACCCATGCCTAGCCAACAGAATCCTTCCTATTTGCTAACATATCAGGAAGTCAGACATGCAATGCCTAAAGTCTATCTAGACATCAAAGCAACACATGGCATACTATAAGCCTGGAAGAAAACTGACTACAGCTAAAAACCAAATATGTTTGATCCAGAAAGACAAAATTATACATTATTATGAAAGCATTAGAACCACATATACAGGAAATACATAACAAAGGGATATTCATTAACTAACTTCAATATGGCTATATTAAATAAATATGTATAAGAAATAATTGCAATTGACTCCCCCACTGTGCATAAACACACAAATATACATATATACATACCCATGCAACACATTTATATGCATATATACATTACATATACATATATATATATATAGCCAATTATGAAAGAATTTGAGATATATTACCACTACACTCACACCATATAAAAAAGAAAAAGGAAGATATTGAGAATTTATTGAGTCCAGAGTACACCAATATCAAAGCATGCCATGTCACTTTATCAAAACTGCTTTTCCTGATCAGAACTGTCAAGCTCCATGTTCTTACTAGTGTTTGCACAGTTTCCAGAAACATCTTACAATCCGAAAAGCCTTTTTATTTTTAAAATTACAGGATCATTGGTATAAAAAAACTAGAGTCCACATTCATGCATGGTTTCCACAAATTGGCCTTTTCCTCCCACAGATAGAAAAGAAGAATGCAAACACTCACCGCGGAGAGCTGACTCCATGTGGATCGCAGTGGCTTATGGTGAATCACAATTCTCTCCTCTGGCTTCTGTTCCTTGGGCTCTGGTTCTTCATCGGAGTCGATATCAAGAGCCTTTTCTTTGTAGTTTTGATACAGAACTGCATTTTCTTCAAGAAAGCAAGTCAGATAAGTCACTAATTGCTCCCAATAGCTATCTATTTGCTCTAAAAAACAGCCTCTATGTTTATACAATGTTTAGCGCTGGTTTAATTAATATCTGAAATGAAGAGACCTTGTCACCAAAGAATTTTTGACATTCCAACTAAAGCAAAGTTTCAATGTCTCTGTCTACTACTCATGAAAGATGGTCAGTCTCAGCCCATTGTAATTTCGGCTATAGTAAATCCATGTGTTAGGTTTTCTTCAGGCTATCAGTGTTCACTTATTTATCTATTTAGCAAACATTTACTGAACATCATAATGTCTTATTTTCTAACACTCAAAGGGAAACGATACTTCGTATCCCCTCATGAACCAGTAAGTCAGTAAGAAAATGAACTTCCTATTCATGCATTTATTCATCCAACTGACATTTAGGAAATGTCTACTAGATGCCAGCAACTGCCAAGCAACTGGGAATACAATGGACAAAAAAGATGAGAAATCTCAGTGTTCATGAAGCAGACATAAAATCAAAGAGAACTGAAATAAACAACTAACTTTCCTACTATTGCAAATGTGGCTATGTTGTCATGGAGAAAAACAAATGACAGGAAGGGGTAGGAAATTCTGGGAAGAAAGTAAATTCATTTTAAGTAGGGTGGTCTCCAGAGCCTTCACAGAAGTGACATTTAAGGCAAGACATAAGAGGTAAGAAGACAAGCCATCTGTACAACTAGGGAAAGAGCTGTGTGTGTGTATGTGTGTGTGTGTGTGTGTGTGTGTGTGTGTGTGTGTTATACCAGTATGTAACAGAATGTCTGAGAAGACAATTTCTGGTGTCAGTCTTTGCTTTCCTCTTTGAGACTTGTTTAGAGCTGCATACAACAGCTCACCATAGGAACACTTGGGTTACACAGGAGCTCTATCCCATCTGGCTTTATTAGGTAATACAAACTCAGAACCCCATGTTTGTGTTCCAAGCACTTTATCTACTGAGCCATCTCCCCAGACCAGGAAAGAATATTTTATGAGAGGGAACCTGAAGTCCAAATGCCTTAAGGCAGGAGTCTACCAAGTGTGTATGGACACGGAGCATAGTGTGATAGGAGGCCCAGGGAGGGCTGGACTCATAGAAGATGAGGCAGGAGAGTGAGTACAGGGCAGATCATGTCTGGCCACTAAAGGGACCCTGATTTTTACTCCAAGTGGAATTACGAGTTATTGAAGAGCTGAGGGCACATGATCTTACATAAATACATGCTGATATAAGAGAAATCATGTGTATACAGGAGCTCTGACAGAACTGCCAAAGTATGATACAACCTAGAGGAAGGAGAGACACCAACGAGGAAAACCCAAGCTCTAAATGTAGTGAAGCAGCAGAACTCAAGGGAAAGGCAGATGGACAAACACCAAAGCAAGAGGAAATATAAACCTTGGAAGCACTAGTGAAAGCCTCAGTGGTTGTATGGCAGGTGTGTGCAGTGGTCAAACAATGCAAAATATGCTTACAGAAACGAGCCACACAGTCCAAATCCAAATAACATGTGTTAAGCAATTGGATTTTATCCTGAGTTCAAAAGAATTTGGTTTCTTTTACACTTTAGTAATTGTATTTCATCCTCAATACAAACAAAGTTACTTCAATGGGCTAGTCAAACACTAGCTACCCAGGGGAGTAATTAGGATGCCAAAGGAGTAGTCAATATAAGGTTAGAGAGACCTGAGCTTCCCCACTTAGCATGGACTGTGGACAGACTGGATATGGGAGTAGAGAAAAGTAGGGTAAGCTTTCAAAACGCTCCAATTGCACAGACAGAAAGCAGGAGAGAACATCAGAAGCGATTCTGGCAGAGATGAGGAAGATTCTGAGTTTGGTGTAGGACTTGGCTTGTTAAAAATTCTTTCCTGCCTCAGCTTTTTCTCTTGGCAACCACACATAGTTCTGTGTGTACTGTATCTACGGTAGCATTAGAATATATGCAAGATTTTACTATTCTGTGATTATACAAGAAAATAAGTAAGTCAAACTCAGTTTCTGGGAAATTTTAAAGTATTTTCTGGGGGAGGCACACGGCATATGTATAACATCATTGACACTATTTCCCCATCATTCCCACAAAGAATGAGCTCTCATTTGACACATGGGACAGGACTTAAGGATGCACAGGTCTTGCATCCTTGTCACTCAACTGATGATTAGGAACACCCAGAACCTTGCACCACAAGTTCTCACAGCTAGACAACACTGCTTCTAAAGGTGCACTCCTGCAAGCCATTGACAGTAAAGAATTCTGCATTCTTCACTTACAGATATGGATAAATGGTTATCTACACCATTGTGTATAAAAATAGACAAGACACCCAGAAACAAAGAGATAACACACAACTGGACTGACTTTAAAACACTCAAAATGTTCAAGCCTTTAAGTCATAAACAAAATCAAGCTGAAATTCTAAGAACCAAAAACAAAACAAAAAAACAAAACAAAGAGAAACATCTTCTGAAACAATGATTCTCAACCAGTGGGTCACATCCCCTTTTCGAGTGAAGGACATTTCACAGGGGTTGCATATCAGATATCCTGTATATCAGATATTTACATTATGATTCATAGCAGTAGCAAAATCAGTTACAAAGTAGCAGTGGAATAATTTGATGGTTGGGGGGTAATCATAACATGAGGATAGCATTAGACAGGTAGAAAACCACTACTCTGAAGGAAATAGAAGTCTGAAGATTGTTGACTTCACATTCATACAACGGTTCAGGAAATAGCAAAGGACAAAAAGCAGCAGTTCTATGTCCCTAAGCTTGTGTTGCCACAGGTATGGGGGGGGGGGGGACAAGTTACTAAAACTCTCAGGGCTTTTGATTTCCCCAATTGTAGAATCAAGGAGATGAATTTGCCCCAAATGGTCAAAGTACCATATCTGTGTTTCTTCTCCAAATAACAATTACTTTCTACAACTAGTACAGTGTCTTGATAAATTACTCATTTGTCGTTAAGCAGGCACTACTTTACAGTCATCCAAACTGTGTATTTTACATCTGCATGGCTTTCTATTGGCTTTTCTTATGGAAGGGCATACTTACCTTCATTGTTCATTAAAGGATGGAAACTCTCAGCATTTCAAAGCTATGAAGAAAGTAAATCTACTCACAGTCCCCAGGAGCTTCCGGGCTGCAGCTGGCACTGTTCCCCGTGCTCCCCCCAGTTGGCCCCTTGACCCATCTATTTACAGAGTCCACTAATCTGATTAGCATGTGAACACCTGGCTGAAGCTGCTTTTGTTTTTGAAAATCTCAACAACAAATAATACACAGGATAAAAATCCAGAAAACCTGCATTTCCCCAAAGGTGAAGGTTAGTAGGAAAACAGGAAGTCAGAAATGAAACTCAAATGTGGAAATACTGCGAAAGGAATAGTAAGAAAAAAAAGGGGGGGGGAATAACCCAGAGGATGCAAGCATCAGTCTCAAGGAGCCTGAGTGAGAAGCTAGATCTGGCTCCACCCCCATGTTGCGAGGCAGGTGGAAAACTGAAAGCTCTCTAGATGTAAACTAAACTTAGCAGTTTATAAACATGCCCCCTATGGATAAACAAGGTTAGCTCAATGAACACAGCTTTGTGCTGGATAATCCAAGACAAAGGTGGCCATTCTTGTTTTTTTTTTTTTTTTCATCCCAAGTGTCTTTGTTACTGCAGTTAGGTTTCAACTTATAATTGATGTACCATATTGAAGCTGCAATAAAAGTCTGGAAAATTGGGCTGGAGAGATGGCTCAGTGGTTAAGAGCACTGACTGCTCTTCCAGAGGTCCTGAGTTCAAATCCCAGCAACCACATGGTGGCTCACAACCATCTGTAATGAGATCTGATGCCCTCTTTGGTGTGTCTGAAGACAGCTACAGTGTATTCATATATAATAAATAAATAAATTTAAAAAAAAAAGTCTGGAAAATTAAATGCTTACCTTCCCCATCAAATGTTCCTTGTCCTTTCAGCATTTTTTTCTAAGAGACAAAAAAAAGAGAGAGAGAGAGAGAGAAAAGCAAACTGTGTATGAATAAGCCAAGTACAGCTATTTTAAGTTAAAAACCCCTTTCTGTTATTTCCCTCAGATTTCCAAAAGCACATGGCAAAGAATCCCCATGCCAATTAACCACAACAATAAAATAAAGTGTGGAGCGTCCCCACATCCCGTTAAACCAGAGAAAGAATCCTTAAATGACCGGCAGTCCCGCTCATTTCACTGTGATTCACTCTCACTGTTAGTCTGAACTTTGCTATCCCTGACAGCTGGGGGGAGGGGCACATAAAATGTTATGTAATGTCTTTCCTTTAAGACTGTATGTCTAAAATAAAACAGGCTTGCTTGTGTATTGCATGTGTGACACTTCTACAGACTGGTTCTAGTTGTCTGATTAATCAAGATTTTAAAAAAAGTGACTGCCCTATTGCTTAGATCTGTCTTGTTTCTAAGAAGGTGGCACATACTCCAAAACATCCCTCCCTGGTTGTGCCTTTTCCTTTACTCACGGTGGGGGGAAAAATTAGTAAGGGCAACTGCTAGGCCTGTATCAGGGCACAACGCCTCACACCCTCACGAAAGTTCTAAGCTATTAGTTTGTCAAAAACATTCATTGATTAATAATAATAAAACACAAACATGGGGGCATGGTGACTAAAATAAACAGAAGGCAATGCACTGTTTCACGGTTTGGGTAGCTGAATTAAATTCATGTGCCATGAGCATTCAATTCTTCCCCAACACGTTCACATTGGATTTAATGAACGGCATGTGAGCCTGCCCAGTCCTACCTTTATCCTTCCCAGGCTAGAGAACTTCTCCTTGTCTTCCATTACCGCCTTGAGGACAGGCTGGGACATTCTGTTCTTCTTCTTTGAGCTGGTGGGACTGTCAAAATCAAAGCCGCTGACCACTGCCCTTCGGTAAGACGTGGACCGCAAGCCTCGCCGAAGGGAGCCCGGGCTGTCTATGTCATTGTCGACTTCGCTTTCCTCCCCTTCGTGGCCCAGGGGTGCTCCCAGTCCCTCCACCATGCTGCGCACCTTGAGAAGCCGCCTATGGGGCTCCACGTTCTGACTATTGGATTTACTCAGTTTAATTTCGGAGGCAAGACTTTTGGGGATAATCTGCTGCTTTCCCATCTTGAGGGCCGCCGGGCTGTTGGTACTCAAAACCACTGAAGAGTTCGGGAGCTCATTCCCTTGGGAGGGAAGCCTTTGGAGAGGCAGTTTTTGTTCTGAAGACCTGTGCTGGGGAGCAGGAGAGAGCCTCGAGGGGACTGGCTCTAAGTCCCCCGCTGACTGATCAGTTTGTGATACTGGGCCAGGTGAGTCGGTTTTAGAGGTAAAGCCATTGGTAATGGGCGAAGATGCCTTACTGGCAGTCACTCCGGTGCGGTCCTCATCAGGGGCGCAAGAGGTCGGGATGTCCGGAGTTCGGGAGGCGCGCGACAACAGCGCCGAGGGTGAGGCCACCGTGCCATTGGCAGCGGACTTCGGGGAGCCGCCCGACGCCGTGTAAGAAACTAGGGGTGACTTGGGCCGTCGGAGTCGAGGAGAAGCAGCTCTGTAGTCCGGGGACACCGTGCGACCATTGGTCACCGGCCTCCGATGCGCGCACAGAAGCTGGGGGCTCCTGGACACCGTCCTGACGTCCGGGCCGGCGGGTACGCGAACCGGAGTCTGCGATGTGGGCAGAGCAGCCAGCTCCTCCACCGGGAAGTCAGTGATCAGCAGCCCGCTGGGGCTCTGGTACGACTGTGGCCGCGGCTTGCTCCGGCCGAGCAACTGGAGCGGAGGGGTGGACCGTCTCCGCCACAAAGGGGTGACGCCGTTGCTGGAAAAATCCACCTCGCTTTCGCCGTCCATAGCGGGGCCTTTGGGCCGGCCCCGAGAGGAAGAAAGCTGCTCAGGTTGCTTAAGAGAAAGGAACTTTGCCTCCGGACAACTAGCCTTGTCTGGGAGCCTAGCCGGGTTCCAGCCCGGCGGTCACACGGGTGTCGCGCGGGACTCGGCAGCGCCGCACTTACCCGCCCTTTCTCGGGCAGAGCGCCTCCCGCCACGCTGAGCGACCGGGGGCTGAGATCGGAGCCACAGCCGAGCAAACGAATCCGGTCTCCTCTGCGTCCTTCCCGCGCCCCAAGCCCGCCGGCACCTAGAGAGCTCGCCGCCACCGCAGGACCTTTGGAAAGAGTTCAGCTGGCTGGGACAGCTCGCCACGGGACGCTCCCCCGCGTCTCCATCTAGCCGCCCACCCCGAGCCAGTCCACGCGGACCCCGGTATGCGTTCTTCAGTGCGCTCACCCTTCCGAGAGTCCAGAGCACAGACCAAGGAGTGCTCCCTGTCCTGGTGGGTGGCCTGGGTCCTCACCAAAGCGTGGAGACGACCGCTCAGCCCAGGGCAGCAGAGGCCCGCGGCGCCGGCCCCGCCCCCGCCCCCGCGCTCCGCCCCGCCCCTCTTGGCCCCGCTCCAGCACGCCGGGGAAGCTCACAGGGAGGCGCCCTGGAGTTCCCGCCCACGCCTGCACCGAGTGCGCTCAGAATGTTTGCAAACTGGACGTGCACACCTGAGCTAGGTGTCCAGACCGGAGTACTAGAATGCGGGAGCGCGGGCGGCTGCCCTAGGGGCCAGCCAGAGGGCGCGGTCGCAGATCCAAACCCAGCTTGGGAATGATCAAGAGAGCAGAGAAAGGGTTTCTTAATGATCCCGGATCCCCCGGGGGAGGAGGTTGGAAGGGTGATGCTGCCTGCGCCACTTCTCTGGGCCACTTGGGGGCTTCAGACTGACCCTCACTCCGGAGTCTCACTCATCTACTTGCAAAAATGTATAAACTATAGACAGATTTGCTTATATACACTCAGAGGAGAACTGGCTGAGAGACCAGGTGGACCGTGACTCTGCATTTCCTAATCTTTGGGCCTTGTATGTTTCAAAGTCACACAGTAAAAGTAAACAAAATACGAAATACTTATTAGTGTATAGTTGTGTATAAATTGAAAACCTGTGTGTAGAATAAAATATTGTACAAGGAGTAAATTCCAAATCCTTATTAGCGATTAAGAGGCTGGATAGAGGTGGGCCTACCCCTACAGCCTGGTATTTTCTCACTAGCTTTATTCAGCCAAGCCAAGTCTTGGAGCCTTAGAGCCTTCACCTTTATTTCTTGGCCTTCTGCCTTGTCACTCCATTGGAATCGGAGTTGGACTACTCCGTTAGTTATTTCTCCAACCACCTGATCTCTTTTTTTTCACACTAATTGAAATTTGTACATCTGTATGCTTCCTTATATGTCTATGCATTAATGCTCAATCTATTCTGCCTTTACATTGTAGTCATGAAGAGGGCAGGGACCATGTGTGTGATTTCACACACACAGCAAGTGATAATATCAGTAGATGAATAAAAGAAATGAACCTGGGCCAGTGACATCTTTTAGATGTTGATTGCCAAGTTGGCTGTGCCTTGGTGAAATTCCAGGTATGTAAGAATAGTGAGGCGACCTGAGAAGACATGATTTTAGTTGATTAGATCTGCAGAACTGGTGCTGTTAGCAAGACACATGGGAGTCTCCAAGCTTTCAGCATTCATGTGAGCAACCACAGTTTAAAGCAGTGCTTCTTTCTGCTTTGGGTGGTGAAAGGAAGTGGTATCTCCGACGTTTCTGTATGCTATTCTATACTTACCAAAGCTGCACAGTGAAGATCTTGGATCTGAGAAACTCTTTTGAATTCGAAGAAATGGAATCAAAATGTTTACCAAAATAATTTTTGAGAAAATACCAACAATTTCATACAGAATGAAGCAGATTCTATGTTCATCAATGGAACCTTAGTATAGGGAATTTTCATATCGATAATAATAGTTTTATATAATAAATTTAACTTCAGTAAGTGTGGAAGTTGATAAATGTCAGGTTTAATGCGGGTCAGAATACAATCTGTGATCAAAGTTAAAAGACTTTGAGTAATGACGTGAGAAGTTAGTGTCCCTGTAGGTCATGTACGCCCTTGAGTTGTGACATGTGGTGAAGAAGTCACAGTCTGCTCACCTCCTTCCTGAGCAAAAACCTACTCCCAAAACAATAGCAAAACACAAAACTCTCCTTTCACTGAGGAACGTTTGCAAGCAGACTGCGTATTTTAGGCTCCACCTAACTTATTATATATTTTCAAATCTAAGGCATAGTCACTTGGTTGCTGTGCTAGCTAGTCTTATGTCACTGTGATAATACAATCTAGAGTTATCTGAATGGAGAGAACCTTAATTGAGAAAACGCCTCTGTAAGGTCCAGCAGAAAGGCATTTTCTTAATGATCGATGGGAGAAGACCCTGCCCATTGTGGGAAATGCCATTCTCAAACTGGTGGTCCTGGGTTCTATAAGAAAGAAGACTGTGGAGTCCTTGGGAAGCAGCACTCCCCTGCAGCCTCTGCATGAGCTCCTGACACCAGGATCCTGCCCTGTTTGAGTTTCTGTCCTGGCTTCCCTTGATGATGAACAGTGATATGGAAGTATAAGCCACATAAACCTTTTTCTTCCCAACTAGCTTTTTTGGCATAGTATTTTGTCACAGTAATAGAAACCCCAACTAGGACATACGAGTTGCAGCATCGTTTGGAATTCTTCATATTTACTGAAAAGATAATTTTTAGGTTAGCTTATGCAAATTTTTTCTATTATGCACATATACAAAGTGTAAAATATAATCAGAGTGAGTCAGTTGAGGTTTTATACTATTGTTTTAGAACACTTTTGTTTTCACACAGCTATTAATATGTCTAGCTTTTCCCCTACAAAAGAGCACCAATAGTACAATATTTCTTTTTTTCTTTTTCACATTTTCTAGTTCATTTATTTATCACAAATCTAAAATTTTACTATATCTTGGCTATACAGAATAGCTTACTTAATTCTATTTTGTAGAATATACCGAACTCTTTGATTTCTTTTAATTTTATTTTATTTACATTCCAGTCATTGCCCCTCCCCTCCCAGTCTCTCCTCCCATGATAACTCATCCCATTCCTCCTCCTCCTTGCCTCCAAGAGGGTACTCCCCAGACACCAGACCTCCTGCTTCCCTGGGGCAAGTCTCTGGAGGGTGAAGCACATTGTCTCCCACTGAGGCCAGACCAGGCAGACCTATGCTATATATGTGTCAGGTGCCTCAGAGCAGCCCATGTATGCTCTTGGTTGGTGGCTCAGTCTCTGGGAGCTTCCTGGAGTCCAGGTTAGTTGAGACAGTTAGTCTTCCTATGGGGTTTCCCTTCCCTTCATCTTCTCCAGTCCTTTCCCTAATTCAACCATAGGGGTCCCCAACTGCAGTCCAATGCTTGAGTGTATCTATGTTTCTCAGTCAGCTGCTAGCAGGGCTTCTCAGAGGTCATCTATCCAGGCTCCCATCTGTAAGCATATCAGAGCATCAGTAATAGTGTGAGGCCTTGGCAAGTGCCTGGTGTGGGTGTGGTGGCACACACCTTTAATCCCAGCACTGGGGAGGTAGAGTTATGTGGATCTCTGTGAGTTCAAGGTCAGCCTGGAGCACAAAGCTAGGTTCAGGACAACCAAAGCTACACCGAGAAACCCTGCCTGAAAAAAAAAAAAAAAAAACAAATGAAGCCAAAGAGCATGTTGTAGTTTATGTTTGAAATTTCCCTTCTAGCTACTAATAACCATATTGCAGTTTGTTTTATTCACTATAATTACATGAATCTCTCTCTCTCTCTCTTTCTCTCTCTCTCTCTCTCTCTCTCTCCTCTCTCTCTCTCTCTCTGTATGTGTGTGTGTGTATGTGTGTGTGTGTATTGTCATCACAATTACTTGTCCAATTGCTGCTTTGTCAGTTTCAAAAAACATTGCAACTTCAGAGAAGTTGAAAAGCAGGACTAAGTACTTTTTAAACCTGGAATGAAATGGTACTTTCAGCAACGTAGTCCACTGGTATATTCAAAAGCCATACTGAATTACTGGAATAGTCAATGGTATACTGTAGGATATATTTCTATATTTATTTTTATTGTGTTTGGCACAATAATTTAGCTAATTTAAAGGGAGTATGTTGATTGGACTTATGCTACTATGTTCATGTACCTTTTATTAATTTAGATATTCTTTCCACAAATACTTATTTAATTCAATTAATAGTGAAGCAACGGGCCAGGCCTACTTGAAGATTACAATTTGTCTCAAGTAACCAAAAAAAAATTAAAATGATAGCAGAAGATGCTCAAATTGAGTAAGATCTGAGACACTCCCTGGTCGATGGAAATCTCTGTTAAAGGAGCATAACGGATAAAATATTTCAAGGTAGAAAAGAATGAATAGGCTTCTGAAAAAGATGTCCCAATGTGAGTACACTGTGGGACAAGGACTAGACTACTCACATTTCTTAAGTGCCAACTATATTAATCTAGTATACAGATCTGGTAGATGAATTCTGTTTAGAATTCATCTTGGAAGATGTATAGGGCAGCCAAATGTGGCTACTTCACAGAGACTGAAAGGGAAGGATTTGGGCATGTGGCCCAGGGAAGACAAAGGAGCACACTGTCCTCTTTGCTCCTTTACTGGAGAGCCTGACGATGGCTCCTAGATAGCTCCAACACACACCTACAGAATTGCAGAAGCAGCCAAATGAGAGTCTGCCTGTCTGTCCTAGTGAACAATACTGTGGATTCAGGTGCTGTGGACTAAGGAATAAGCTAAGTTTGTGTTGGGGGGTGGGGATAGACTAAAGTCTCAGTCTCATTGACAAACCTAGGATTAAAAATTCCAGTTTAAGAATTTAGGGATTCTGGTTCTTTTTGCAGTGGACTATCTCTGGAACGCTGGGCATAGCAGTTGGAAGTGCACATCCTGGGCATTTTGATTTGATTAATGTGTGTTGATTTCTAGGCATACCTGAATATATACAAAATCCCTGTGCTATCCTCCCTCTATGCACAAGTAAGCATTTGTTTGCCCAATATATAAAAACCTGTGTTCCTTAGGCATTCTGTCCACTCACTGTCAAGGGTTTCCTGCAGTTTGGACAGAGTCACAAGGAGAGGGCAAACTAGCCCTTCTGATTTCTAAGTCTCTGATTTGGGCTTTTCTGATACAAATAAAATCAGACATGATATCTGGATGGTAATAATATCAATTTAGGTTAACCAAGATAAAGAATTCACAGTTGCAACTGGTGAGGAGGCTCTACAGCATGGCCTACCAGGAGAAGGAAAGTGCAAAACTGTTTCTCAAGGGTCCAGCAGTCTACTGATTTCAGTGCATGTGGGGCGGAGACCAAGCCTTTGGCTTGGCAAAGGCCCTCTTTCTTTCTCTTCTACTCAGTGACATGGGCTCAGCAAAGGACAACTTGTTTGTTCAGAGGTTCTTAGAGTTCAGTTATGATCCTTGGGAAGGCAGTAGAGACCTCTGGAATATTTGCAATATTTATTTATTCTCTTTCTCATTTCTCCCCTTTTCTGTGTCTCTGTCTCTCTATTTTTGTCCCTCCCTCTCTCTCTCCCTCTCTCCCTCCCTCCCTCCCTCCCTCCCTCCCTCCCTCCCTCCCT